CTACAAGAAAACAGTCCGTTTGTGTCTACTTTTTGTGACTGTTTTTATAGTAACTAAATTTGCGACTGGTTTGTGATTGATATGTGACTAATCAGTGACTAGGAGAATACGAGACGCAAAATAGTCACATATTTGAGACTAACAAATTCACTCGTAGAGTAGTCGCAAATTAGCGACTACATAGCGACTCTTGTAGGAGAGATAGATATTCGTCACCAATTAGTCACAAAATACGACTAATTTGTGACCACCTACATAGTGAATAAATGTAGTTGCTAAGAAGTCACAAATTTGCGTCTGATTTGTGACTCTCGGAGGACATCTCGAAAGAGNCGTAAATTCGTCACAACGAATCATGTCGGTAGCTTTGTCAGGTAGTATGTCGGTAGCATTGTCGGGTAGCATGTCGACAAGATATTTATAAGGTTGGTTGGTACCTTAAGGTAGTCACAAAATAGTTTGGAGGAGAAAGATGCTATTTGAAATATGAGTTTTTTTCAAATATTTTGTAATATATTTGTTGTACTAGATGATGTTAGATTTTATATTAACGTTTTTAATTAGTGTGTGTTTTATTTGTGGGAATTCATACTACTAATGTTTGACATAGTAAATGTGTAATCTATTTGCGGGATTCTTATTTTTATTTTTCAATCTGATAACTTTAAAGTTATATACTTGGATTATGTGGTAGATTACCGAATGGTTACAATAGCCCAATGGTTAGCTTTGACCTTAAACTCTCCCACTACCCCTCGGGTCATGAGTTCGATCGACGAGAAGCACAACCTTTTTCTCCTTTTTCAATCCAACTGAAACTGTACCATTACCCTTCTGCTCACGGGTTCGATGCACGATAAGCACATCCTTTTTTTCTTTTTTCAATCCGACGGATTTAAAGATATATACAAAATAATGTACTAGATTACCGAATGGTTACAATAGCCCAATGGTTAGCAAAAAACATAAACTCTACCATTACCCCTCTGCTCACGGGTTCGATCCACGATAAACACACCTTTGTTTTTTAAGTTTTTTTGCGACTGATTTGTGACACTTCAGCGACTAAATATTTACGCTACATTTCAAAAGTGACTCATTTGTGACACTTCGCGGTTTAGAGAAATGATTGCCACTACATTCAATTCCGTCACAAATTAGTCCGAAGATACCCACTACTTTGTGACTACTTTACAACGTCCAGTATTAACTATGACTAATTTACAACTAATTCTCAACTACTTATAATCTTTTTGCAAAAAAAACAACACATTCTAAGTGTATATTATTTATTTTCATATTAACAATCTATGTAAACTATAATATTTATAAAGAATATATTTTAAGAGTGGAAAAATCCAAATTCATTTTCTAAATATATTTGCATACATATAGCTAGTATGAATCACTTTGATGTTTAATACATGATTTGGTAAGTTTGTTGTTTTATATAGATTAAGATGAATTTCAATTAATGTGATGGATATAACCAATCAAAAACATTCAAGAAATGCATTTGGAATTGGTTGGAAATGATAATGGGTGATACTTGTTTGTTAAAATGTTTAGGGTTTAGGGAATCATTTTTTACTACCCAAATATCGTCACAAAGTAGTCATAAATTTGTGACTCATATGTGACTCCTCCGAAGGCGGGCTAATTTCGCGCTCAATCCAAATATTTTGGTATAATGGGTCAAATTTGGG